CTTCAACCACCATATTTTGATTTAAAAAAACCAATTACTTCATAAACTAATTTTGTATCAAAATATGGTGGGGTAAGATCTGTGACATGCATAGACGTGCATTTCAGGTCTCATCCACCATATTTTGAATTAAAAAAAAACTATTTTTTTTTTAATTTTTTTTTTCAATTAAAAATGGAGGGAGAAACCCTGAAAAAAGCATAAACGCGCGTTTTTGCTTTTTTCAGGTCGGTCCACACCATTTTTGATTGAAAAAAAAACAATTTAGAAAGTAATTGGTTTTTTTAATCAAAATATAGTGGATGAAAACCTGAGACATGCATAAACGTGTGTTTTAGGCCCTGAAACACACGTTTAAGCATGTCTCATTTCTTCATCCACCATATTTTGATTTCAAAAACCAATTGCTTTCTAAATTGTTTTTTTTTCAATCAAAAATGGTGGAGAAGACGTGAAAAATGCATAAACGTGCGTTTCTGCATTTTTCAGGTCTTCATCTACCATATTTTGATTTAAAAAAACCAAATTCCCATAAACTAATTTTGTACCAAAATCTGGTGAGGTAAGATCTGTGACATGCATAGACGTGCATTTCAGGCCCTGGAACACACGTTTATGCATGTCTGAGGTCTTCATCACCATGTTTTAATTACAAAAAAAAAACCAATTATTTTCTAAATTGTTTTTTTTTTCAATCAAAATTTTAGGGGAAGACCTGAAAAATCCATGAACGCGCGTTTTTGCATTTTTATGGTCTTCATCTAACATAATTTGAATTAAAAAATCAATTACCTTATAAGTTGGTTTTGTATCAAAATATGGTGGGGAAAGACCTGAGACATGCATAAACGTGCATTTCAGGCCCTCAAACACACGTTTATGCGTGTCTCAGGTCTTCATCCACCATATTTTGATTTAAAAAACCAATTACTTTCTAAATTTTTTTTTCAATCGAAAATGGTTGGGGAAACCTGAAAAAATCATAAACAGTTTAGACAGTAATAGGTTTTTTTAATCAAAATATGGTTGATGAAGACAAAAGACATGCATAAACGTGTGTTTTAAGCCCTGAAACACATGTTTATGCATGTCTCAGGTCTTCATACACCATATTTTGATTTCAAAAACCAATTACTTTCTAAATTGTTTTTTTTAATCAAAAATGATGGGGAAGAGCTGAAAAATGCATAAACGCGCGTTTTTGCTTTTTTCAGGTCTTCATCCACCATATTTTGATTTAAAAAAAACCAATTACTTTCTAAATTTTTTTTTCAATCGAAAATGGTTGGGAAACCTGAAAAAATCATAAACAGTTTAGACAGTAATAGGTTTTTTTAATCAAAATATGGTGGATGAAGACAAAAGACATGCACAAACGTGTGTTTTAGGCCCTGAAACACATGTTTATGCATGTCTCAGGTCTTCATCCACCATATTTTGATTTCAAAAACCAATTACTTTCTAGATTGTTTTTTTTTAATCAAAAATGATGGGGAAGAACTGAAGAAAGCATAAACGCGCGTTTTTGCTTTTTTCAGGTCGGTCCCCACCATTTTTGATTGACAAAAAAAAACAATTTAGAAAGTAATTGGTTTTTTGTAATCAAAATATAGTGGATGAAAAACTGAGACATGCATAAACGTGTGTTTTAGGCCCTGAAACACATGTTTATGCATGTCTCCGGTCTTCATCCACCATATTTTGATTTAAAAAACCATTTGCTTTCTAAATTTTTTTTTTCAATCAAAAATGGTTGGGGAAACCTGAAAAAATTATAAACAGTTTAGAAAGTAATAGGTTTTTTTAATCAAAATATGGTGGATGAAGACCTAAGACATGCATAAACGTGTGTTTCAGGTCCTGAAACAAACGACTGTTATTGTTCGGCGGTTATCAACTGCCAAACGAAAACAATACAAGACTTCCAAGCTTCTCAGATTTTTTTCAGTTCGCTAGACAACATATTTTTGACAAGCGAAAATAAATTATAAATGTTTTTATAGAGCTCCAAATAATCCTCCAACTAATGCAAAAACCTTGCAGATTTAGCCCACCTAAAACTGTATGAAAAGTTTCACAAAAAATCGCCAACCTGAAAAACATGCACTAATTTCAAGGCGGTTCTATGAAACAGTTGAAAATGCTTAGCTTCTACAAAATTCGAATCGTTTTCTTATGTAAATTAGCCGGGAAACTGTTGTCGTTGAAAGTAAGCCCTCATTGTTTGAGATATGTATACAAACAAAAACTGTACGCCATATAATCAAATCATTTTTTTTTATAAAAATTAGTTTGGGTCCGGGGTGGCCTTCTCATAGAGTAATTTCGGATAGGGTACACGGTCAGTTCGTCAAGCTATCTTTTTTTTCGGCCGGATAGATTTGTGCAACTTTTTAGTCTAATACTGATCCTAATCTTACTCTTATTTTTCCTAGTCTCAATAGATCTACTGTATACTGGTAGTCTTGCAAGGTTAGAGGAGAGGAAGAGCAACTGCTTTCTAAGTAAAATTTTTTCTTCTCTGGCTAAAACTACAAATTATCATAAGTTTTATTAAGGGATCATGATTGGTTAGTTCGACATATTTTACAGTGATAGTTATCAAACAATTCAATTGGATATAAAAAAATTTTTTCAAATTGATTCCAAAAAGTTTTAGATACCATTTTTATACATTTGAGGGCTAGTTCGGTTAATAGTATCATTTGGTCTTTATTTCCCCTATTAGACAGTTAATTACAACGTTTTAATTATAAATTCAAATGCATTTGGTGCAGCCGATAAATGAGAAAACTACGAGAACCTATGTGCCAGCTCCATCAATTTCATAATGCGTGTTTCAATTGCGCTGAGAATAGGGTCAATTTTGTGAATCCACGAAAGTAAGAGCAGTTATAGAGATAAATGTTAGGAAAGTCGCACCGCCGCCGCCTTGGTCTAGAAAGACGCGCTGCCTCCGCCTCAGCCTGGAAAAATGCGCCGTCTCACCTTGTTCGGGAATTTTTTTTCTAAACTCAGTTGCGTCGATTACAGTTGAAAACATTTTTGTTCAGTTAAGACATTCGAAACACCGCTAATTTCTTCGAGTCATTCAAAATATAATGGGCTGCGGTCGATCAAATTTTCATTCGGCTGAGTCTGTTCAAAACTAATTTACTTGCTTCAAACACTGTCGAACACTTTATCCTTTGGTCGAGTCGGGCAAAAAATAGCCAGTTTGGGTCGAGTTGGTCGCAACATAGTTAGCTTAGAACAAACACAATCGAAGCCATTTTTTCTTTAATCAAGTCGGTCAAAAAATAGCAAAATTGGGTGGAGTCGGTCAACACATAGCCATTTTTGGTCTGTTTCATAGAAACATAAGTCCAACAACTCAACTCGGGCTACACGAATCTACGATGCTCAATTCTGTGGCTTTTTCTATTATGTTTTGTGGCTGCCCAGGTTGAGGTTTTGGAAGGTGATTTGACAGAAACATCCCAATGATGTCCGAGTGTCGTTGTAGTGCAGGACTCTTCTGCTAATTCCCGATAAAGTCGAACAAAGTCGAACAATGTCCGGTGAAGTCGAACAAAGTCCAACAATGTCCAGTATAGTCGAACAAAGTCGAGCAATGTCAGGTAAAACCGAACAAAATCGGAAGCGGACATCGTTTGACTGAAAAAGTCGAAATCGGACATCGTTCGACTGAAAAAGTCGAAAACGGACATCGTTCGACCATTTCGGTCGAATCATGAGTCGAGCAACTCAGCCCGGAGAGTGATTGAAAAATTTGTCCTTAGCAAAGCTTATCAAACTTTGTCAAAGACGACCAAAAAATGCCACAATTGGTCGAAAAATAGAGAACTTTTGTGCGCTAAACCTGTGGTTTGATTGTAGTATAGGTCTGTATTCAGGAGAGATCTAGAAGAAAGCTGCACTAACTACCCGGGTTGACCAAAACTTCTTATCATACAATTTCCATATATGAGAAACTTCTTGTCATGCAATTTCATACGATTCCATACGTACAGAAAATTGTATGAAAACTCTATGATAAGCATTTTTCCATATATGAAAATTGTATGATAGATGTTTTCCCATAAACCGAAAACTTTGATTTTTTCTTTCTTAATTTAGTTTCTGAAAATTTTTTGGTTGTGTTTGCAACCGAACACGAGTGACAAAGACCTTGGTTACTCATAACACCGAAGGTTGGACGGTCTTGCATTTACAATGCATAGAAAACGACCTGAATTTGGCTCTCTTTCACAATTGATATAACAAAAGAAACAAACGTTTATTTTTTGGCTAAATTTTTTAATGATGATTATTTTAAATTTTTGAATTTTCAATTTATCAAATATTGATCAAGGCATATATTAACACTCCATACAAAAGAAATAGGAATTTTAACTGTTTTTGAAAAAATAAAATTAGGTGAAAAGAAAATAAAAGCCAATTTTATCGCATCCAGGACTACGTTATGGACACAAAATATTAAATTTTGCATGCAAAAAAATTTTTTCGTACGAAATTCGATTTGCCGTTGAAAAAAAAACAAAAAAATTTTGGGCCAAATTTTCAAAATTACTTAAAAAATTTTTTGTGTCGCCATCAAAAAAATGCCAGTCATACAATTTCCATATATGGGAATTGTATGATAAGCATTTTTTTCCAAAAACGAAAACCTCAATTTTTTTTATCACCAGACTGTTTTATTTGAATCAAACAGCCACAGAAATAAGTTTATACCAGTTTTCAACCATTTTTAGAAATTGTATGAAAATTGTATGTCAAGCATTTTTCCACACACTTGATGTATGGAATTGTATGGTAAGCATTTTCGGTGTATGGAGGTCAACCCGGGTACCGAGGTTTCCAAATATAATTTCCAATGTAATTTCCAGGTATAGGAAAACCAAGTTTTTATCTTTTGCAGAAAACTATTAGCTGAAACAATGTATTGAAGGATGGTTATAGTTCAATAAAATATATTGAATTAAAACGATTTTTACAAGTTTTCTGAAGTTTATGTTTTTACAAATTATGCAATCTACAATCGGTTAAAACATTTTATTTGAATTTTGTACCTAACAATTTCGATTACCATGAGTCATTTTAGATAGATTCCAAAAGGAACTCGATTACGTGTATAGTTTGAATTCAAAACGAACTGGATGTCGAGTTGTTTTTCTCGGCTAATGTCGCAAGATTTGTGCGCAATTCTTCAAAAGCTTCTGGTCTTTTAGACTTTCTTGGTTGATAGTAGGGCGCCCATGGCTCTGGAAAATACACAAGTCTGTAAGACCAGCCACACTTTCTAACCAGAGGAAGATCCTGCTTCAGATTAACTTTATTTCTTGGCTCTCCCACAAAAGCTCCTTTGCAGCTCACCACCTTATCCGACAGTTGGCGCTTCAAAAGCCACAACAAAGTCATGCGTTCTGCTTTGGCGAATAGTCTCGACTCATCATAAAGCAGGCCGCGGTATTTAAGGAATGAATATGCAGTCCTCTCCGTCAAAAACTTCCGATGTACAGCTATAGTACATTCGTGAAGTCCAGTCGTATTGGGTGAAATTTTCTCGAAATTCAGAGAACTGTTGACTGGAATTTTGTAAACTGCGCGTATCATGGGCAACAAGTGAAACGTCTCGTTTCTCGTGTCGTCTTCGAAAAGCTTCTGCATTGGTGGGAAGCTCTCTTCTGGCACGAACTGGCCACCGTCCAGCGCCACCACCCATTTTGCTCCTAGGTCAAACAGTCTTTGTATGCCTGTGTTCCGTGCCCTGTGAAATAAAGAACATTAAACTACTAAATATTTAACAATTTTCTTATAATTTTCTACAAATCCAAAAACTAGATCGCGCTTTTTCAGTTACCATGCCAAGGTTAAAAACAGACAGATGGCTTCTATACAACCTAAAAAAAACTTGAAAAACGTGCTATTTAATGTCCGATTTCTGAATCAACCTCATCAAACGACAAGACAAAAGCTGAAAAAGAGAAACAGACAATTTGCTTAGAGTTTTCAAAACATTAAGCAGACAGGGCTGTTCGCTTTAGGACAAAAGCAAAGCCTAAAATGTGTTGCGAAATGATTTATGATGGAAAGCGTAGTTCATCTATTGTTCCGACTTTCGATACGAAAGTGACGGAATATTTGTGCTCGGGGTGGGTTTTTTTTTCTTCAGACAAATTTCGACTTTTTAACTAGCCATTTTTGACGGAATTCTTTTATATCATTCAAAAGGTATTGTTGTCTTGAGCTCAAATTTGAAAAAAATACTTTACCTGTGATTATTTTTCGTAAAGTTATGAGGGTTTAAAGATTGCCATTTTGGCCATTTTGACCAATTTGGGACAATTAACGCGCGATATAATTCGCGCTATTAACGCGTAAGCGGAGATTTAATCCGTCTTATAAATCGTTCCAAATTGGTTGAGCGAAGCTTATTTGCCATAATTGATTTGTTACAAGGGACAAAATCTCTCTTTTTGTTCCGACTTTCGATACGAAAGTAAAGGAATATTTGTGCTCGGGGTGGGTTTTTTTTTTCTTCAGACAAATTTCGACTTTTTAACTAGCCATTTTTGACGGAATTTTTTTATATCATTCGAAAGGTATTGTTGTCCTGAGCTCAAATTTGAAAAGATATTTCACCTGTGATCGATCATTTTTCGTAAAGTTATGAGGGTTTAATGATTGGCATTTTGGCCAATTTGGGACAATTAACGCGCGATATAATTCGCGCTATTAACGCGTAAGCGGAGTGTTAATCCGTCTTAGAAATCGTTCCAAATTGGTTTAACGAAGCTTATTTGCCATAATTGATTTGTTACAAGTAGCGAAATCTATCCTTTTGTAATTTATATGGCGTGTGGGGGGATGATTTAAAAAAAATTTAAAAAATTTGAAAAAAAAATTTTCATTTTGTTTTATTACTTTTAATTTTTTAATGACATTACTGCTCCATAAACCTTAATGGGCTGTCGGAACATTCAGGGCTTCGCCCTGATACGAGCAGTCTTGTTTCTTTTTGGATCCTATTTCTGAGCTGAAACAATTCATATCACTCAGTAGTAGTTATTATACAGAAGGAGGCTATTGTTGGTATTTCGATGAGGATTCTTGCTGAGATTTTTCTACATATTATATGAATATATAAATAATTACTTTTGCAATTTTTCAGCGTTCGCTTTTGCGTGCTTTTAAGGTTTTTTGAGGTTTGCAGTTATTGTCTGATGTTTTGTTCGTTTTCTAGTGTATTTTTGCATTTCGGTGTCTCTCTTGTATGCTCACTGGTAGCTAATATGGGAGGAAAAATTTTTCGTCTTCAGACACAAAAACTTCTGTACTTTCCAGTTGGCTACCTCATTATGTGAGCTCGTTTGAAACCATTTTTTAAGCTTTCACCCAGGATTCTAACCCTGGTTCCAGGTGAAATTTTGTGAAAACCAATCCTGGACTCTTAAACCGATCAGGAAAACCAGGGCAATCCTTGCAAGACTTTGACCTGGTTTATCCCCTAGCCAGGCTTGGCTCCATGGGTGGCTTTAGGGATGGACTTCCACGGACAAGTAATCGTCGCAAGTTCATTGAAATTACTTTTTTCTTCCCTCACCAACTATTTTGATGTATCTGATCTGGCTAGTAGTTTCGCAGATTGAAAACATCGTTTTTTGTACATCTATTTCCAAAAGGATATATTCGGTAAACATCTTAGTCTGATACTGGTTTAACCTCCTCTAAATTCCTGGTCTCAATAGATGTGTTGCTATAAAAGAAAACTCGAGTTTAGTCTGATATCGTTTTTTGTATCTTTCGTAAAATGCAGAATTTTGTTCAAGACGGTCGAAACATCAAGTCAGCTCATCGAGCTGGGTTGCAGGTTTTTTTTGCGGTTTGTTGTTCAATTTTCGGAGTAGTAGGCGAATCACAAAGGGCTATGTATTTGGTTTGTGAACTCGCTGTGGTGGCTGTGATCAAGGGGTGGATCAGATGTCTGTGTTTGGTTCTGGTGTCTACGTTTGCTGTCCTTAAATTTATCTGGAGCAGCAATTCATTCATTGAGAGGTTGGATATAATTTCCTGCGATATCCGGAGGGGGTTTTGGAAAAAACGCGTTTTTTGGGAAGCTTTTATTACCGTCCCATAAATTAGAGAGTTGATCGGAAGATGGGATGGTGGTTATTGTTATTGTGGCATTTGGTGAAGACGACGTGGTGAAGGAAGATGCCTTGAGGGAACAGAGTGCTCATATTGGAGGCAGCCTGGTTTTTTTCCCGCGTCGAGGTCAGGGACTTATGTTGGGACCACTGCGACTCAAAATGGGTATGCTGCGACCATAGCGACCCAGGCTCGATATTTTTCGACTTTGTGCGACTCAAGCCTTTTGCGGGATGATGGAAATTCGCTCGCAGAAAGTCTATTTTGGCTACCCATTTTGGTCGCAACATGAGTCGCGGACCTCGACCCGGGTTTGTTTCAATGGGCTAAAAATCATATCGATCCTGAAACAAAATGTGTGCATCTGGGATTACTTGTTTGTTTTGTCCTTTTTCCATCTTTAATTTTTCGGTTATTCAGGGTTATATGATGTTATTGAGATAATTGTGATTTTTCAAGTGTAGACAGTTAACGTTAATTATATTCAGTTTGATATATCAAGGTTATTGCAGCGACAAACGGTTGATTGATAAGGAGTGAATTAATCAGATCTGCGTGATAGTTCCAGTAGCAATTCAGATCAAATGTATAGTGTAAATCACCCGCACAAAGTTACTCGAACCAATGACTTAAGGTCATGTTTCACCAGCTAATTTTAACAAAAATCGGGAAGTGATCTTTCAGTTTGAACCAAATAAGAAAGATCAATTCTTCCAGTTCAGTTAGGAAAAATCACCAATACCACGCCTTTCAAAATTGGTGGTTCCTAGTAAAATGTCTCGGAAAAAAGCAGTTTTGCATCTTCCCAAGTTTTTTGTCAATGCGTCTGCAGGCATGTTTGCTGTTGGTAAAAAGGTTAATGTCACCTTCTCCTGTTCAACTAACTCTCGAAAGAGGTGTAATTTTATGGCAAAATGCTTCGTCTTTCCGTGGTTCATTGAGTGTTTACTAAGGGCAATACAAGCTTGAATATCAACGAAAACTTGTAAAGGCCTATAACAAATTATGCCTAAATCGCTAAGTATGCCCTGTAAATGAATTCCTTCCTTTACTGTTTCGACCACAGCATTGTGTTCTGCTTCGGCTGTTGAAGTTGATACACAACGCTGAAGTCTGCTAGACCAACTTATTACATCTGAGTTGTCACTGAGTTTAAAACAATATCCTGAAGTACTTCTCCTATTGTCTATATTTTCAGCCCAATCCGCATCCGAATAGCTAACAAGATTCAAGGCCTCATCCCTCCTATATACTAAAGGTAAACTTTTTTTTCCTAGCAGATATCTAAGACAATTTTTTCCGGCTTTTCAATGCTTTTTACCTGCGTTTTCCACAAAAGAACTTAGAAGATTTGCTGCAAAGCAAATGTCGGGTCTACTTGATGAAGCTAGATAGTTTAGGCAACCAACAATTCCTCGATTTTTCATATTTTCTTGTTCTATGCTACTTTCTAAAGGACAATCTTTTTTTGTCAGTTTTTCGTTTTCACCAAGAGGGTTGTTATCAGCTTTGCTTCGGTGATCTTAAATCTTGATATCAATTTTTCAACATATTTCTCCTGGCTTATCCTTATTTCATTTCCTGAGTAATCAATTTTCATTCCTCAGAACCATTTAAGATCACTTATCTTGGTTGTCTCAAATTTTTCAGAGATATTGTTTTCAAACCAGCTACATAAATTTTTGTCTGCTCCACAAACCACTATCGACCCACAAGCAAAATAAACCTTATATCTCTCCCTCAATCCTCCTAACAAACAAGCACTCATCAAAAACTTAATTTTCAAAACCTAATTACTCAAGATAGCTTTTTAGAGTACTATGCCAGTTTCTACCGGACTGATTCAGTCCATAAAGACTTTTCTTCAGAAGACAAACTAAAGGTTTTCCTATTTCGTCAAATTTCTCCAACCCTTCAAGTTGCTTCATAAGAATTTCTTCATCTAGTTTGGCATTCAAGTATGCAGTTTTAAGGCCTAACTGTCTCAACTGATACCTATTTTGAAATGCTAAGCTCAGGACTATTCTTATGGTCGACATCTTGGCTGGAGGCGAATACGTTTCGTGAAAATCCTTCCCTCAACTTGACTGAAACCTTTAGCAACAAACCTAGCCCTAAACCTGGAAATTTCACCATTAGGTCCGTACTTCAGAGCAAAATGCCATCTGCTGCCTATAGGCTTCTTTCCACCATTTCTAACTAGTTCCCAAACTTTGTTTTTCTCTAATGAATCAAACTCTTTTTTCATTGCTTCTTGCCAGTCAGGGTCTGCTAAAGCTTCCTTAGCACTTTTCGGTATATTTTCGAGAACTACTCTAAAAAATACTACATCATCTACTCTTTCTACTTCGTCACTTTCTATCTTTTTCTCAAAGTAGAACTTAGCCTCGTCAAAACTAACGTTTTTAGACTTTTGCACTTTAAGTTTTCCTCCACTCTCAATTCCCATTAAATAAGCTTTACTATTTTCCGATGTCCCCAGAAAAATTCCCCTTTTAGAGTTTTTGTCTAGTTTTTTGCGAAACTGTTTTTCCACAAAACTTTACGCTACACACCCAAAAGTTTTAACAAAATTAAGATTGGGTTTTTCTCTATACATAGACTCGTAGGGTGTTTTGCCTATAGCAGAATGAAAGCACATGTTTTTGAGATAAATAGCCATAATATGAGCAAAAGGCCTATAAGTTTTCAATAAATTCGCATCAAAAATCATGCAGCGAGCCAGTGGAGTAATTGTTCCCCTTACCCTTTCTACCTTTCCGTTCTCTTGAGGGGCGTAAGGAGCCGATGTTTCCAGTCTTTTTTTTGTTTCCTACAAACTCGCTTAAAATCCTGACCAAAGTACTCTCCTGCGTCGTCTAAATTTAAAGTCTGAGGGATTTCTATGTCTGCTATGAACCTTTCAAACTTTTCTCTTGCCTCTTCTCTAGTCTTCTTGAAATAAGTTTTTAGATTTCTAAAAAAACTGTCCACAAAACCTATAGCATATCTATGTTCATCCTCTGCTATCGAGTCGATAGGACCTAAAATATCTGTGTGAACAATATCTAGTGTCCTGGTTGCCCTGGTAAAAGAATTTTTCGGGACTGGCTTCTTTTTTGCTTTAATCAACTCACAAGTTTCACAATTCTCAATTTTAAAATCACTTATCTTCATGCCTTCAACATGTTGCTCCAAATGACTTAAATCTTTGTAGTTATTATGACCCATCCTAAAATGCCACTGTTTCAATGTGCTAACTACATAACACTCGTCTTTGCCTACAAAAGTGGCTCATAAAAAGATACCACTTTCCTCTCTTAATGGGTAAACTGAACCATTTCCCTGGCGAACAAACGAGCTCGCACCAAAAGCAACTTCTGCTTCTGCTCCTGCTTTCTTCATCTTTGATACACTCAGCAAATTTTTTGAGGTTTCAGGAACGTAAAAAGTATCCTTCAGCTCAATCATCTTAAATTCGCCTTTCTCATCTTTCACTCTGAATCTAACTTCACCTTTCCCTAAAATTTTTGATTCAGAGAAATTTGCATTGCTAACCGATCCTTCGAAGTTCTCATCTAAACTAACAAACTAATGTCTCGATCCTTAATCATATTATTGCTAGCTCCAGAGTCTACAACGAAGTCCTCGCCCGGAGACACTCCACTCAGGAAACTAAAATGAGCCTCTGTTTCAGCTGCTAGGTTCTGCTGTTCTCGTTTAGTCTTACTAATGAATTTTTTCTTTGCTTGGCAATATTTTGCAAAATGTCTAAGCTCCTTGCACTCATAGCACTGAATTTTTTGAGCTCTGTCTTCACTATCTCGTCTGCTCTCTAAGTTTTCTCTGCACTGTTTTGACACATGTCCTCTTTAATGACACTTGAAACAAACTCTATTCTCGCTATTGAAAGCATGTTTTTTTTCAATTATTTGTCTCTCGCTATCAAAATTCACTAAATCTCTTTTCAACTCATCTAAACTTTTCTCATCTCTACTAAACTTAGCTATAGTAGAAAAAGTTTCAAATTGTTTCGGAAGTCCTTTCAAAATAATTGAAATTAACATTTTTTCACTCACTCCTTCGTTCACTTGCTCTAAGTTATACTGAATCTCCTCTGCTCTAGTCAAATAATCTATCACTTTTTCATTGCTATTCTTTTTCAAAACTCTTTTTCAAACCTTTTTCAAAACTCTTTTTCAAACCTTTTTCGTAAAACATCCCAAGCTTTGCTACCTTTGCCTTTATAAGGCCTTAAAAACAAAACCGATTTCTTATCTAGAGCTTGCTCAAGTTTGTACCAGATATGCAATTGTTTTTCTTCAAAAATCTCCTTTCCTTTATCTATCGCAGCTTGTTTTTGATCACTGCTTGCATTCGGTCTTAAACTTGGCATAAAATTTCTATAATCAACTGTCTCATCAAAAATCCTGTTCATCTTCAAGTGAAAATTCCGTGCCTCGAATTGCTCTTCAAAGTAGGAAAAATCTTCTTTTTTCCCGAAAAAATTATCCTATCAGTTTTTGACTTTTTTTTTCCTAATCCAAGTTCTTATTTTCTACTTAATTATCACCAAAGGTTAAGCTCCAATCCAAAACTCAAAAAGTTAAGTATTGCCCTAGGTAAAGATCAATGACCCCGTTTTCTTTTACATCAAAATCATATATTATAAACATCAATATCGCCCGCTTATATGACTATGGAACCTGACGGAGTGCGTACCGAATAACACATCAGCAAACTAGCAAAGCTAAGGTCCCTCCTCAGATTTCATACTAGGTAATATTTGTATTAGCAAAATAGAAATTCGTCTTTTTATTCTGGGGTATCAGTTTCTTTTTCTTTTAATGGCAATGTATTTTTTGGATTGATTTAGTGTCGGATTCGAGCAACCGCGTACGAACGAATTTATCCTTCCGCAAAAATTGAGTATAAATCAGCAACTTTTACAAATAAAACGTGTAATTTATCAGTTTGATTCACTTTCTTTCACTATCAATAGTGTAGTGCTTCTTCCACTGCTGTGCTCACTCAGTGCTCCTTCGTGTAGCTTTTGGCCCTCTTCTCTTTTTCTCTGTTGTGTTTCCCTGCTACTATCATCAGAAATGTCTATCTCTAGAAGTTAGGTTGCCCTGCTTTTGTCGTCAAAGTTGCCTGTCTCTACTAGTTGCGTTGACCTTCTTCTATGTTTGCACTTCTCTAACTGATTAGTTGTATATTTCCAGTTGTAAATTTCACTGTCAAAACTCCACTGCAAACCTCAGCTTTTTTCTTATTCGTTTGAACAAACAGTCAATCTTGACTCCTGACTTCTCACTCGTGATTGGGCATCTGGGCCCATAACCTATCAAGGTTATTGCAGCGACAAACGGTTGATTAATAAGGAGTGAATTAATGAGAGTTGCGTGATAGTTCCAGTAGCAATTCAGATCAAATATATATGGTAAGCCACCCGCACAAAATTGCTCGAACCAATGACTAAAGGTCATGTTTCACCAGCTAATTTTAACAAAAATCGGGAAGTAATCTCTCAGTTTGAACCGAATAAGAAAGATCAATTCCAGTTCAGTTAGGAAAAATCACCAATATGATATGGGATAATTCAGTAGATTAAAATTTCTTGCTTTGGTTACTTCTCTATATTAATTTTCGTGCTGTGGCTGGCGTTTCACAAGCTTCGACATCAACGTCCGGTCGGGTTTCTAATTTATTGTTACGACCATTGATATTGGGGAAGAACTTTGTGTCCGGGTGTTTCAATTTTTTTTTATATATTTTTTTGTTTTCGACACAATACCACAAAAAGTAGTCGGAATAGCTCGAGTGACAAATCATAGGAAAAATCTTTCAGTCGATTACGAGGCCAAACTGTGCACTGGACAGGAGCACATTATTTTGTCTGTATGTTCCTGTGTTCCTGGATTCCAGAGTCTTTAAACATGTTAAAATTTTGTCGGAACGAGCAAAGAGAATGAAAGATCATAATAAGAACAAAGGGAGCCTCCTTGTTGCATAATCCGTTTACAATTCACAATAGACACAATTTGGCTCCTTAAATGTAATTCGAACAAAATTTTTAAAAATTTTAAAATTTTCTTGTTGTCGACAAAAACCCGCCGGAAATTTTGGGGACAAAAACTGGTATCACTTTATCTTTTTTGCAATATGGCTGTTGAGTATGCCTAAATTTTAAGCTTGCGTCTAATTCTTTTATCACACCACGCACAAAAGACGACACTAATGTCAAAAAGATCTTTATGTTCTCTTTAAATATATTGTCTAAATATTCTGAGCTACTAGCACAGCAACCGTCTATCCTTGTTGCCATATGCTGTTATAAAAAAAGAGTACACGAACATCTCTTTTTTATTTAACTTAAGTGATTGTGCGAGTGATAGAGCGACTAACTCCTTCGTTTAGTGAAATAAAAATCTAGTTTGAACAAGACGGAGTTCGATTATTTTTTACTGATGCGCTCTTAGGTTATTTTGGGCGAAATAATAAACAGGCCCAGTTCTTCTATTTTTTTAATTATTCCGCCCAAAATAACTTTAAAGCGCATCAGTAATGAAATAATCTAACGCCTTCTTGTTCAAACTAACTTGTTTTGTTTCAACCAATCAAACTATAGCAATTTAATTTCTATGCTCTCATATACAAACTTGGGTGGATTGAGTAAAAAGACTCAAATAATTTCTGACCCGTTGAGATTGAGTGCTTCGTTATACAGCTGCTTGGCATCAGTAGAGTTGGACATCTTCAGCACCATGTAATGTTCACCCCAAGACTCCAGCAACCTGATCAACTGTTTCTCTTTCGTCCCATTCCAAATGCAGTTCACCAGCCAAAATCGCCTGTTGCAAGAATTTCACTATTCCCTTTCATCAAACACAGTATAAGATATGTTATAATGTTATAATCAAATGTTAAACTTCCAAATTGAAAAAATAAATAAAAAGTTAAATGTGAAAAGTAAAAAGTTATGAAACTGAAACGTAAAACGAACAACTGAACTAAACAGGAAATGAGATAACTTTGATAAATATTTGTCAATTTTATCAAAAACCTCTGAAAAAAGTCCAGTTTAATCACTTATAATAGATTATAATGGATTATATTTGAACTTTTTTGAAACTGACAAGATGGCGGCTTTAATGGTCAATGTTGAAAAAACCGCAGTATGTTTAAAAATTTCAGACACATTTTGAAAAAATTTATCATAATCAATTGTAATTGATTAGATTTCATTCAAATGGTTTTAATTGATTAGACTTTAAAGAAAACATCTTAGACTATGAAGAAAATAATCCATTTTCAATCAATTATCATTGATAGTTTTCTATTTTTATGGAGGCTGACATTGAAAATACAATATACTCGATTATTATCCATCAAATTCCAGTGAAATGTAGCTGTCCCGTACTATTTCTCTAAAGGCAACCTGCGTTTATAATTGAGTGACGAGAGAACTAGGAGCGGGACAGTGGGGGTGTGGAGGACAGTTACCGTACCAAAGTATCTCACAGGAGATGATAGATAGAGGGAGATTGACAGTTCTTATCATTCTTTACCCAACACGCTTGTCTACCTGAGACTTGTGAAACAATACCCGAACATGAAAAGGCTACTTAGCTGAATGAACACTGGATCTATTTGCTAAAGTACTTCAAATGGTCTTTTTGGGAGCTGATTTTAATTGATTTAGTTGAGACTTGACTTTTGTTCAGTTGGCAATTGACTTTGGGTATGTTTCTATTGTTGTCTGCAATGATTTTGACACGTGCGTTAAAGTAGCGGGAACATAGCCGTGCCCGTTTGCAGGTTGCAAAAAAAATCGGTTTTGTCAAGGCATGCCGTGCGTCCGTCGTCAGTAGTAGTAGTAGTAGTAGTAGTAGTAGTAGTAGTAGTAGTAGTAGTAGTAGTAGTAGTAGTAGTAGTAGTAGTAGTAGTAGTAGTAGTAGTAGTCAAAGAGTTGTTCGTAATAATGTTTCTGATGGTAAATCTGCTGTTTTTCTGCTGGGTCTTGTGTTGTTGTCATTGACGAAGCTAAATTTGATGCGATATGGTTTCTACTGACTCAGTCTCCAAAACTAGTGAGAGTTTTATTGCGGGTCGGGTGAGCCGTTTATGCTTGGTTTGTATTTCACCAACTCAGAACAAGCATCGATAATCAACCCAACAATAGTGCAGCCAGCACCATGCATCAATGATATGATCAGCAGCCTAATCAGCCTAATCAAATGACCCAGCCAATATGCAGCCAACAACCGGACGAAGATAGTAGCCTCCTTCCTTCGACGACTAGACAACATCAGCAGCCCGACTCTACGACACAACAGAAGCTGGAAAACGACTTTGGAAACCCGGCGAAGATAGTAACCTCCTTCCTTCGACGACTGGACCACATCAGCAGCCCGTCTCTACGCCACAACAGAAGCTGCAAGGGTCTCGCTAACTTCCTACAGACAATGGTTGACACCTTCACAACGCTTGGATTCCACCACCATCTCCACTCTACAACGAAGGTTCAGACAGTTTTAGGAAAACTGCCGACACCCTGCCGACTGGAATGGAATCGCTACAACCTTCAACAAAACCTCCGACAGCCATCGCTAATTGACTTAAGCGTATGATTCAATGTCTACGCTGATGCCTGCACGAACTGGCCAGCAGCAACCAATAAGCAATTTCATCCAACTGACCGAAAAATCACTATAATATTCCGAACGTTCAACGCATACAACAACATCAGCCAGGACAAAAGGAGCCGCAAAAAATTTTTTGCCCGGAAAAACGCAGTTTCCCCTGTCTCGGAAACAGCCAGCATTTCATAGCCATAAAACCAATGGACCGACTACGGCATGCCAATGATCTACTACTCTGCTTAACTGCCTCAGCCCTCAAAAATTTGCCGGTTGTCAATTAACTCAGACCTGTAGGACAGATGGAGGCAACAGGAAACAACACACTCTACTAAAAACCAGTAAAAACTTGAATTCAAACACCTCGACCGGACGCAAGGACTCTACAAGAAGGAACGCTAACCGACATGATGATGCAACAAATTGCAAATCCAGCACAAAAACATGGGAATCGACTCGCCACATTCCGACCTTGCAAATAACGATCTTTTATGACAATCAAGAACTACATGCCAATGCCATGCTTGGCTGTGCTAGCAAACTCACTTTGCTAAAATCATCAATCGCTCTTCAATTGAAACCAGGTCCCAAATTAAACGCAGGATTCAGCTTTGACTTCACGATTTAACTTCATCCGACACAGCCTCTGCAAAGATGAGCATTGCGATTGGACCCTACAAACATAGACAGCAGCCATTTCAGCTCAACGACATTGCCGTCATAATGAATAGGAATCTCTCAGACTTTGATCTTGTACTTTTCAACTCTATCTGCCAGAGGAATCAGCAATTTCAACATATCCACATTGCAACTTTGCCTTCAAAGGAAATAGAACTCATCTTAGGATGCGACTTCGCCAAACTAGTGACACCAACAGAAGCCATCTCATCAAAACAAGATATACAGATTGGATGAAAACGCCTTTAGGATGGTCTCTTTGTGGAAGAGACAATGCAGCTAAACCCAACGATGCCAACACCATTCACTTCACATCGGACAATTTGCTCTTTCGACATGTAGCCGAATGGATGAAGATAAACGCCGACGGAATCTTAATGGACCACCGCAGCCTCTCTGCAGACGATATGGATGCCCTGGACAGTTTAGAGTTTTCGACCAAACGCCTATCCAATAGACACTACGTAGTTGGAATGCTTTGGAAACGCGATCGACATTTGCCCAACAATCGATGGCTTGCCAATTAGCAACTCGACAGCCTTCTATAGAAACTACGAAGAAACCCCACAATGGAAACCTTGTACGTTGTGGGGTTTCTTGACACGGATCTTCAGAAAGGATTCATAATTGAAGTCGATGACCCCCCGTACAACGCGACTCATCACTCAGTAACAAAAGTCAACAATTTGCCTCACCACCCAGTAAGAAAAGTCAACAAGCCTGGAAAAGTACTCTGAATACTAAACGCCTCCAGCATCTTCAAAGGAGTCTCCCTCAACAGCACCCTTCTAACTGGACCGGACCTCCTGACAAACCTCACTGGAATCCTCATAAGATTTAATGAAGACAGATTGCCATCTCAGCAGACATCGAGGCAATTTTCATGCAAGTCTTCGTCAAGCCTCAAGATCAGCCCTACCTACGAATACTTTGGAAAGACGATGAGCACAAGCCTATCACCAACCAGTAGACTCACCACATCTTCGGTGCAACGGACGCACGCATCTTGTGTGGCCTGCTACGCTACCCGACAATGTGCCAAAAAAAATGCCGAAGAATTCCCCAGTTTGGTGTAAATCACAGAAAAGAATATCTACATGGACGACCTCTATCAACGCCTGCCGAAGCGACCATTTTGATGAAAGACTTGCAAACAATATTTAACCGTAGAGGATTCAACCTGACAAAGTTGATATCCAACTCTGAAGACTTTCTAAGGACCATCGACAAGAACGACACAGGAAACAGCGACAGCCTCACATCAGTTGAAAGACGTCCCGAAAGAGTTCTAGGGGTCAAATGGAAGCCCGACAAAGACGTACTTCTTGTGGAAGCCACGAAGTTTCAGACGATCGACTACCCCACCCAGCGCAAATTACTGAAGTTTGTTTCTTCAAATTTTGACTATCTTGGAATAACCATGCCATTGACGATACGACTTCGGAAATCATTTTAAATTGCCCGGACTACTCGACCTCAGTGAAACAAACCCCTCAATCTGGACCCTCTGAAGGATCTCAACGAATGCATTGACGAACGCAACCAGTTCAACGACATTTGCATGTCACAGAATTAGGAATTACTTTCGCCAGGAAAAAAAATTCTCCACTTGCAGTTTTCAACGACACCTCGGAGCTCGCTTTTGACTCAGTTGCTTACTTTAGGATCACCTACACCGACAACACAGTGGAAATAAAGTTCATCATCGGAAAAGCAAGAGTAGCCCCCTCAAAAGGATAACAATACCGAACTTGAAACTACAAGCCGCGACAAATGGAGCAAAACTTGCGAGATTTGTCAAAGGACAGCACGACATCAAGATTGACAGCACAATACTGTGGACAGCAGTACGACCGTTTTACATTGCATTAATTCTGCAAACCAGTGCCACCGGATCATCATTGCCAACCGACTCAACTTCATCTTGGACTCGACATCGCAACAAGATTGGAGATATGTACCCAGCAAAGATAACACTGCCGGTGATCGAACACGTGGTTACAAAGCAAGTGAAATGACAGCCGATTCCCGATGGCTCAAAGGATCAGCCTTCTTTTCAAATTCTTCATCAGATTGGCCCGCTCAAATGAAATTACAGCCTTAGACAGATGTTCTAACGACAGATAGCTAAACTCAGCCGACAGCAAGCTTCAGTAGACAAAAGTGATCCACTATTCAGCTAAGTAGCCTTTTTATGTTTGGGTGATATTTCACAAGTCTCAGGTAGACAATCGTTTTGGGTTTAAAACGATATACGTACCATTATAAGAACACTCAATCTCCCTCTCTCTCTC